CCCATTGGTTTCCAACCCGATAAGGGTGCCCTCTCAAAAGTACACTCCCATATCAAACATGCCACCTCAGCCCAAAGAAAAGGTGCCGCAAATGAACGACAAGAGAAGTTGGGCAAAGACTCATCACCTCCTGATGGTTGAAGGAATCCTCCACTCCAGCAACCGTGGAGCAGCCCACATCTCCGAGCCTTAGAGCTGGCGTCTAATGTGAGCAAAGGTCATGTCCTCTTAATACACATCCCTACGGTTTGTCTGAAACATGAGGGTTTACCATCCTCCATTTGAAGGTGCCACAAAACTCATTTCACTGGTTGTGGCTAGTCGCCTTTTAGCCAACACATTGATACAGGAAATGTCAAAGCAAAAGGAAGCCGTCTTGCAAAAGTAAAAGGTGTTTGGAACGTGACACATGTCTGCCAGGGAAATTGGACTTCGTTTCCTGGAACAGAAGAAACGCCGGCGGTCACTCCCTGGCTTTGGATTTGTTTCGGCAGCTGAAAACGACGGCCTCACCAATGGACCTCTGGAAGTGGCAATTCACAATCTCTTCCGGAGAAGTTGCACCCTGGACATAAAACGGACAAACAAAGAAAATCAACATCCATCCCCTTTCGTCTTCCTGAAACATGTTGCAGACTTGTTTGGGCTAGCGGCGATTTAGTCAATTTGGCGAGAGATCCAACTCTCGTCGGCGCACTCTTCAAGGGGCCCCAAGAACTATACCCCTTCGTCATTGAGGACCCTCCGGACCCGGCAGCCAAGCTGCAGGGGCGCGGCGCAGGGTGGACTGCTGCAGCTGGGGTTGTTGCAGCTGCCGTCACCGCTGCCCTGGGCAAGCAAGCAAGGAAGCAAGGAAGCAAGGAAACAAGGAAGCAAGGAAACAAGGAAGCAAGGAAACAAACAAGCCAGCCAGCCAGCCAGCCAGCCAGCCAGCCAGCCAGCAAGCAAGCAAGCAAGCAAGCAGCAAGCATCAAGCACAAACAAAGACAACAAAGACACAGAAACGCGAACAGCCAAGACGATGTAGCAGCTCAGAACAAAAAGGACAACACCTTGCAAACGACGACCAAATCCTTCCGTCAAAGGCGCCGGACCGCAGCCCTCCGGCGGCGGGGCGATGCCCACGCCCCAAGTGGTACCCTGCCCGGAACAGTCCTGGGCCTTCACAGCCTGGCGGAATGGGACGTCGGCAAGTGACTCGAACAGTAGACTCGCTGGAAATCTCCGTTTTGCTTGCTTGCTCGAGCGGGTGAATGGTCGGTCAGCCCTCGTTGGCTCCCTTAAACCCAGCCAGTAGAAAAGAAATGGAACCAGCTTGAGAAGCCACAAGGGCTGCCACTGAATTGGGTCGGATCCGTTTGATTTTTGATTGAAAACATGGGGTGTTTTATGGAAACAAAATACCAATGTTTGACCATCCTTGTCTAAACCCCCCAGCAAAAACGGCGACGTGCTTTTGGTAGAGCTTGAACTAGGCAGTAAGCTGATGCAAAAACAATTTGTGTTGTATGGCTTCCATTAGCTTTCCAGGGGCCACATCCAAGTTTGAACACATTTTGACCCAACCTTTTCGGGGGTGCTCTTAAGGGAAAGCAGGGGAACCCGTGCGGAGAGCGCAAGATGTGGCCATTCCAAGCGGCGGAAAGTCCCCAACAAGGAAAGATGGCTTTGGGGTTCCGCGTTCAGTAGCTGCACCTGTCCCATTCTGTTCAGCTATGTTCCTTTTCAGCGAAGGGCTGAAACAAATCCGGCCTAAGTGAACGGGGCTTGAAAAGAACAAGCGAAACAAACCGGAGATAACAAAGCTTTAACATAATGCTAGTCATATGTATGTTAGTACCTGAAATGCTTTTTCTCTGAAGGTATTGGGACATTGACGCATTAACAGATATTGCTCCTATTCAAGAAACATAGCTTGTGCTAGCACCAGTCATGTTGTTGCCTTCTCCTGGCGCGCCTGGAGCAGGAGCAGGGCAAGCAGCTTCTTCGCCATGGGTTCTTGATAAGAGGTCGCAAAGGTGCGGGCGAACGGAGCTGCAAGGGCTGCGAAAGGCAGACCAAAGAGTACGGTGGATTCTGCGTCCCCGATTATTGCAAGCAAACAGAACCCTACTTTGGACCAACCCCAAACCTGGAAAATGACTAGATTGTCCTGCTTCCCGAATGTTTAAAAGCACATTTTGCCCTGATCAAGGTTCCGAGTTCCCTCTGCTTGGAAAGGTCAGTGGTCTTGCACAAGTTCCACGGAATCCCAAGGGGTGCGTGCATTTCTACATGACCCTGTCTGGGTGTCCGGGATGGCTTCCCCGGTCCCCAGGCTTCATGGCAATCCCGTTTTGTCTCCAGGGCTCAACTTGGCAGACATGCGAGCCTCCCGAGAAACGGACTGCCAGCGACAGCCAAACGCCCAAAACCAAGGATCTACAAAGGCCCCTGGCAGTTCTGGTTGGGTCCCGATGCGCCCCAACAACCTCCGCTGACTTGGTCTCGGTTGCGGCAGGTCCCCGAAATAACCTCCATGTTCTTCAAATGTGCTTCTCACAATTTCGTGAGTGATGTGCTGCACTTCCCAGCAACCTTGCCCATCGCTGCAAATCAACCCCTCTGTGCCTCTTTTGCCTCGCGAGCATCTTCGTCTCTTCCTCTTGGCGCTGCGTGTGCAGACCAGAGTGTCACAGGGCGGCCGGTGCTGTTTGAAAGAGGGTCAGCTCTCCTTGAGAGACGGAGCAACAGCAATTCAGCCCAAGCAAGGTCGTTAAACCCTCCACGAGACAAGCATGGAATTGGGCAGGGCCGTGAACAAGAGTCATCCACACCCTTCCTGCCTCGCATGCGCGTTGGAAAAGGAGGGTGGTCAGAACCCGCAGTGGCGGCATCACTTCACGCCGCTTTGGGATCAAAGGGCACTTTGAGAAATCTTGGTCGAACCTGGGGCGCTTCAAATAAGACGCCCTTGGCGACACGATGTTGGAACCAGTCGCCCGGAAATCAAGCGATAGACGTTGCCCCTCGCAAAGGTCTCGGCTTCACGAGGAGAATCAAAAAGGAGTGCAGGGGCTCCGAAGTCCCAATTGGTGATTCCTCCCCGAGCTCCCAAAATGGCTATGTAATGGTTGGAGAGCCTGAATACGCGCATACATATTTCTATGGCATATACGTGTATACACACACCAGGCATTGAAGGATGGTCGTAAGTGGCACCGAGCCCGGGGATCGTGTTTCAGGTTGTTACCAAAGTTTGCCCCCCACAGGGTCACGAAAGAATCTCAACACACTAAAAGGAAGCTGGCTTGAACCTGGCCACCACAAGTGATGCTTAAATGAAAGCGGACAATGGCTTTCCGGTTTCCCTTTAGCTTGGTCCTGCAGTCGACACTCGCAATCAACACCGCTGCCAGGTATGGGTTTGGGAGGTATGGGGGCTTGTAGACCACCAATGTGTTTCGCCTTAGCAGAACATTCGGGTGAGGGTTCTTTTGAAGGCAGCCTTTCCTTGTCTGTTTAAAGGGAAACTCAAAGCCACCAGTTTGGAGCACCCCCGATTTTGACACATGCCCAGTCCCTTAAAAAGAGGGGCACCTTTCGCAGCACTTTGCTTTGGAGGCAAGCGTGGGCAAATGAGAAACCGTTGAATCCATCTAGTTTCAACCAAACTGCCTGAAAAGGACACCTATGAGTGCAATGATTAAGGTGGTAAATAGGCTGGCAGAGCTTGAACAAACATCTTACCATGGTAGTCTCCTTGCCAGTGTCCAGTCATGACTGTCAAGCACCAAGGATATGAGTCTCTTCTTGCTGATGGTATCGCTATTTTAAGTTTTAACAGGTTCTTGAAAGCTACCAGTGACTGTGGCTCAGAGAGGAACGCAGAGTCTGGCTCATCTCACTGCTTTGGATTGTCCATGGGAAACCTCAGACAAGCGCTATTGCGTGGCTTCATGGAAACGAGTGGAATGTGTTTTTTGGATTCCACCTGTGTTCCTTTCCGGTTGATCGCTTTCGAAACTCCTGTAGCACTGTTTGATCCGCAAAAGCCGCACCCGAACCGTTTAGTTGAGCAGCTTGAGCGGAGGTGTTGCGTTGGCGCGCATTGACCCCGGAAAGGAACCCTCCGCCGCCTTGAACTAAAACCAAAGTACTAAGGCAGTCTCAGTCACTGACCGTGGCTACTCACGAAAGTTCATCGCGACGCTGCCTCACACGCTGTCCCGTCCGAAATCCAGGCGATTTGTCAGCCGTCTCACTCTAAAACCTCTCAGCCAAGATCAAACCCTTGTGGTTGGCCCCTGGGCTGAACTGCATTCTCCTTGCGAAACGCGTGACTGGCAAAGAGCCCCCTAAAGCGGTGCTGTTTGACACTTTGCTCAGCCAAAGGCTATTGGACCACCCGCCAGCTCACCCGCCATTTCCCCCATCAATCACGGCCACGTAGCGCTTCAGCGTACCAGGAGGGTGAAGACGGCTGCCGTGAGGCTAAAAAGCTTCGACATTCGCGCGGTGCTGGCGCTGGAGATGGCGGTCCACGTGGTGGTGGTGGTCGGGCCTTGTCCGGCGGTGGTGCTGGTGCTGGCAACTGTACTGGTTGTGCTGACGCCCGTGCCTGTCGCAGCGGTGCTGGTGCTGGTGGTGCTGGCGGAACTGCTTCCGCTGCCTGGGGTCAACAAAGAGAAAAAAGACCGCCGGGGGAAGGTTGGACACTGGGCTTGGCTTTCAGAGTGGAAAGGTTTGGGGGCTGGGAGCCATCTAACAAGGACTCTGACTTGAAACCCAAGGTTTCCCCATCTTGGTAATAGAGCAGGGATATTATTTCTTGACAGCTCCTTGCTTGCAAAATTTGCCAAACCAACCGTAAGCAGGACCTTATGGTTGGTTGCAGGCAGGTGGGGTCCACCTTGTCTAGTCTTCCCTACAAAGGCAAAAATGGAACAACGCAACTGGAATTCTAGATTCCCCCGCACGCACGCACGCACGCACGCACGCACGCACGCACGCACACACACGCACGCACGCACGCACGCACGCACACACACACACACACACACACACACACACACACACACACACACACACACACACACACACACACACACACACACACACACACACACACACACACACACACACACACACACACACACACACACACACAACACACACACACCACACACACACACACACACACACACACACACACACACACACACACACACACACACACACACACACACACACACACACACCCACACGCACACGCGCACGCGCACGCGCACGCGCACGCGCACGCGCACACGCACACGCACACGCACACGCACACGCACACGCACACGCACACGCACACGCACACGCACACGCACACGCACACGCACACACCCACACACACACACACACACACACACACACACACACACCACACCCACACGCACGCGCACGCGCACGCGCACGCGCACGCGCACGCGCACGCGCACGCGCACGCGCACACGCACACGCACACGCACACGCACACGCACACGCACGCGCACGCGCACGCACACGCGCACGCGCAAGCGCACGCGCACGCGCACGCGCACGCGCACGCGCACGCGCACGCGCACGCGCACGCGCACGCGCACGCGCACGCGCACACACGCACCCACGCACGCACCCACGCACACACGCACACACGCACACACGCACACGCGCACACGCGCACACGCGCACACGGGCACACGCGCACACGGGCACACGCGCACACGGGCACACGCGCACACACACACACACACACCTTCCAAGCAAAAACCGGCTCAGGCAACACTGCCCAGCAACATCCTGCAAACAACTCCTGGCAACCAGCCCAAAACCCAACCCCTGTGGCCTGAAATGAGGCATGACACTTGGAAGCATGGAGGGTTTATATGCAAAAAAAAAGCAAGCAGCTTGATGGAGGCACCTTTAGGCTCCAATTTTTTGGGGGGCTGCATCTCCCATTTGGAGCCTCCCGAACTCCGGTCGCTCCCCCAACCCGACTTGCCTGCGGTGTAGGAGATAGCGGAGGTGCTGAGCGCAGGCAGCTCCACGATGTTGGTGCCCATATTGGACCCCGCGCCGTCCCAGCACGGGCAAAATTTGTCGTAGGTCACAGTGCCTGCTAAGACACGGGTGCAAGGGGAGGGTCAATTCGAGTCAACTTGACCTTAAGACCCAAATGATTTGCACTGTGAATATTGTGGGAAGGAAATTGACCAAGCCACTTTGGGACCCGAACGACCAGTTGGCCTTGGGACGGGCGAATGGTGGGGGAGACCGGGGTAAAACGACACTCTTGGGTGCGAAAAGCGCTGACCTTGTGGCGTGCCCTCTTTTGTGTTCTTCGCTCGATGTTCCTGTGCAAGAGATGAATCTGCGCAGTGAGGCAATCATTCCGCCTGCAAAAAGGAATTCCAACTTGCCCACAGAACGTGGCGACCAACCACGTTCAGCCCCCTTTTCAACTCCACACCCCCAGACCGTGGTATCCATTTCGCCCAGCTGCCCATCTCCGCATCTCCCCTTCGCTTAGCTGGGAATATGCCGAAATCGCGAAATTTGGACCGGGACCCAAACTGGAAAGGCTGGTGTTCCTTTAGTTTCCCTTTGAGCCAACCTAAAAAGGGTACCGAGCCTCAAAAAAAACAAGAGTGTCCTGTTGCGGTTGGCTTAAAGGGAAACCAAAAGGAGATCAACCAGCTTCAATTGGGGACTCTTCAATTCGCGGACACCATTTAGGTGGGGATTCAAGTCCACCAACCATTCTTGACATGCTTCCCCATTCGGAAAACCCCTCGCCTGCGTGGGTCTCGATGGCGGTGCCAGCGCCCCCGTCGTTGTCGCACTTGGGGTACAGAGCCCGGCACTCCGCCACCGACACCAGGCCGTTGGAGGCAGAGGGCCCGTAGCAGCCCACCGTGAACGGCGCCTGTCAGAACTGGGCTGGTGGCTCGTCCAAATGGTCCAAGGGACGATTCGGAAGACCAGAAGTCAAGCGACCCAGGGAGCCCCTTTCTCTGGCTTTGCGGGAGGGTGTTTCTTCCGCGAAATGGTTGGTGGAAACGAATGCGCATGTGCACCAATTGTCATACCCAACTGAAAATGGCGATGGCAATGAAATTTAATGGGAAGCAAAGTGAAGGCGCCAGTCAGACAAGTTGCTGGCTCGGCAGCAAGGAATGAGATTGATTGAAAGGTCTCAAACAAATACGAGTACTTTGGGGTCGGTGTCCCTGCGACTCACCACTTGCAAAGAAACGTTGACGTCACAAAACTTGGATTCAGACATCAGCCGCATGTTTTCTGCTTTTCGCAGGCGCAGAACCGAAAATGCCGCCTGGTCTTGCACGTGGTAGTGGTACACGTTGCTCGAGCTCTCGGGCGTGGGCCCGAAGTGAGCGCCGCAGGCGTCCAGCAGCGGCAGCTGGTTGTTGGCGTAGTCCTGCGCTTTTGGGCGTGTTGCTGGAGGGGGGAGGTTTGAGGCCAAAACAGCTAGATCTTGCATTTTGCAGTTTGGCGCCCAAACAGCCAGACCAACTTTGACAATCGAAGTCCACTGTTTCGCTGGAAACTGTGGCTTGGGGGTCTGAGGGCTTGATGCCAATGCTAGAGCAACTTGCAAACTGAATGTCACCATCTTCGGAAGCCTTGCTTTGGTCCAAAACCACCTTCCCGCTCTGACCTTTTTGAACTCGAAATCCCGCTGTTTGCTCCAAATACGACTGATCAACGGTGCCGTTTGCCAACATTCTCATGGAGGAGAAACACCTGCTTACCCACTCCAGTGGTACAAACCTAAGCAAACACTTTAGCATCACTCCGGCAAAATCCCTGGTTAGCTTTCACCAGTGAGTCAAAGCGAGGTTTCTGCATCACCAAGTAAGCGTAGTCCCAAAGTGGCAAGCCATGCTAATTCGAGGAACTTCGAGCAGAATCAAACAACCTACTTGTGTAAATTGCCCATCCACTTTAAACCTAGTACTTGTTTGAGATATGCTATGCAATGGTGTACTGTCCAGGTCACCAGCAACAAAATGGCAGCTGAAAATCCATCTTAGGGAGACTTTGCCGATTCCGTCAAGTAGTTGTTGCCTGGTATCTGTGAGTGCGTCCTCACAACCCGCCTATTGCAACATACAACTAGACCTGTTCCCATCCATTCATTCCGTGATCGCTAAGTCTGTCGGATCCGAAGTTGGTTTCTCCTCCCATTTGCCGTAGAGGTTGTATCCAGCAACCTGGGTTGCGCACGACTCGGGGTGTAAGGGAGCGAGGGCTGGGTATGAGATATCCCGGAGCACGGCAACCTTTCAAAGACCCATCTTGGGCACTACCGTATCCCGCCCACATTTGGACTGCACCATAGTTGAGACAAACCACAAGGCAGCATGGGTGTAACATGCTCTGATCCTGAAGGGAGTTCAGGGCGTGCGACAAATGTCCCCACATTGCGGCATGAAGCAGAACTTTTGCGCAAAGGGATCCAAGACGAAAGCAACCTTTAGAGGTGAAAACACCCGATCTCCAATTCGAGCAGATCCACTACAACAGGCAGCCCGGCAGTCAGTTGCCCTCTCCTTGCTGAAGCCAGCGTTGGCCGCCAAATGCTTGAAGGGAAACCCTTGACAGAGGCTGTTTCCGCACGCCAAAACCTGTCTTTTAAGCCGCAAGTAGGTCGTTCAAGCAGGGTGTTTGGTCCCCAAAGAGCAAGCACCCAGCTTGCCAAGCTTCAACGCCCACCTTGGTGGAGTGGCTGCCGCTCTCCTGGTGCCCAGGTGCTGCAACGCCGGGGGGGGGGGGCTCTCAAAACGGTTGGCATTTCCTTTCGATGTCTTTTCCACCAGCCAGAAACAGTCGCCTCCTGTTGGAAAGACTCCCTCCTACCAGGGGAAATGAGAATGAGCCGGTCGCCTTTCTGCTTCCCGAGGAACTGGGGAATCCTTCTTCCCGACAAACTGGGACCATTGTGTGAGGGTTCTTTAATCAGACTATCATTCAAAGACCTCAAGCAGATTGTCCCCCCTTTGCGAGGGGGGGGTCACCTCCTTCTCCTCCGGTGCTCCAATCATCTTATGAGGTGTGGCTTGAACACCTCTCCCGGATCCCAGCTTTCGGTCTGCAGCACGCCTGGTACAAGCACCCGAAGCCCCGGTGGAAGTGGTAGTCCCCCGTGTGACCCCCGCAGGGCCCTACGATGCCGTAGTAGGTCTCCCCCACGATGCGGGGAAGCCTCGACTCGAACGGACCGGGACTCCTCCGTTTGGAGCGGTGTTAGACGATAGTCTTCCAGACCACCATGTGTCGGCGGGGGCAGGGGGTCGTCGCAGTCCTCGTTATTTCCTTTCATCATGGGATGTAACAAAATGAGAACGGCGAGCAACGGCTGCAAATGTAACCCAAGTGGCAACTCGGGTGAGAAAAGAAACAACCAGCGAACAGGGACCAAAGAGATACATCTCTCTCTCTATCTCTGCGTGTCTGTCACATATCATGGCACATTCCAAGCAGCCAACCTTCAGAATTGATTCATGAGGGACATGGATCAACACCCATTGGTTGAGCGATCCCCCCGTTTTCGTCCAAACTTGTGATTTCTCACAAAGTACGTTCAAAAAGCATGGATGTGTCTGACAAATGGGGGACTCCATGTTTGGATCGTCGTCAAGAAAAACCATGGTGACGGCCACACAAGGCCGGGGTTCCCTATTTTGGGAAACACCCGTGTCAAGTCCTGAAAGTGTTTGGACGTAAGCCATCCGTAAGCATATTTTCCCCTGTAGCTACATTTGCACCTCTTCATGGCTGTATCTGAAAAGGAGAGACATACATGTGTGCATGCTGATCAAAAATGTATCGATGCAGGAAGCAACGAGCCATCATCCAATGCAATGATATGTGTTTCTGTTGCTTTCAACGCGAAGTCGCAGGAACCCATAGCTACGTGACTCTTGCTGCTGCCCTGATGCTGGATGCTGCAGGCTTTGGCGACTGACGCCTCGGCAATGTTGAGGTCCTCAGGCGTCGTGCATCAAGTACAGGCATCGTGCATCGTGCATCATCTTTAGATTGGGGGAACCCAAATTCCTTGCCTTCCATTTGCTTTGTCTTTAAAATAATCCCAAAACTGGTTCCCTCCAAAAAAAGAAACTACCCAGACCCAAAAAGAAGACATCCGAGCCGCCACACCTTCAGCCTCTTTGCGTCAAACACACACACACACACAGGCACAGAGAGAGAGAGAGAGAGAGAGAGCGCGCGCGCGCGTGCGTGCGTGCGTATGTACTGTATCTGATTGTGTTTGGTTTGGGGCTTGTGTGGTCTCTAGCTTGTTTGCATTCGTGCTTGCTTGCTTTGCTTTCTGGCTTGCGTGCTTGCTTCCTTGCTTGCTCCATTGCTTTCTTGTTTGCCCACGCAGGCTGAAATTGGAACAAATCACAGAACAAGGCGAAACCAATACGATCACGACAACATATGCGCCATGCTCAAACTCCTAGTATGGGGCATGGTCCTTGGTTCCCTCAATAGAGACCTTTAAATTGGTCCATATTAGCTTTCTAAAGCCTATTGCGATGATCACTTCTAGGGACCCCAAGCAAAGAAACCACAAACCTCCCTGGCGCGCCTTGCCGCCCTCGGAGTCGTAAACCACCGAGGCGTCGCTGCAGCCCCAGCTCTCGATGATGCCCTTCTGCTGCTCCCCGAAGCCTGCCTCGGCTTCATCGAAAGGAGCTAAGTCCTGACTTTGAAGGGGATTTCGGCAAGTGCTATAGTAATTACCAAAAGCTGAATTACAGGATCCCCCAAATAAAGGACCTTCATGGTGAGCTCATGACAAGGGTGCCTTGGGAGGAAGTATTCACACTTAAGCAGAAATGGACCAAACCATGGCGGTAAGCCACCCCCATTGATTCCATTGACCACTATGGCAGGCAACCGGCAACCGGCCGTTCTACCTTTATGCTTCAGGTGAATTTGCCGGGTCATCGAGCGGTAACTGGAATCATTGGCACAGTTGTGTAAACATCCAAGAAGTACGGCCAAGGCAATGCATCTGCCAACGACCTGACTTGAAGAGACCCGTTGTTCACCAGCAACATCAACTCATGTGAGGCATAGACAAAACTCTGTCTGAATCTGTGGGACATGGTCATGGCTCCCATCCCAGCGGAGCTTTGGAAATCCAAATGAAGCCCGGAAACCCTTTCACGTCGGATGGGGCTTCACCAGAAGCAAAGCTACTGTATTGGAGGTTGGGCTCCTTACAGTGTATTGAGCACTTGACTTCCCGCGGCATCTCTTGTGTCGCCTTCTTTCGGATAGGCACCCTTTTGTCAGGTCCCTCGCTTCATTCCGTGGGAGTGTCTCAGCAGCCGGGCAGCCTCAAAGGGGCCAAAGATGTGGGCGTCAGTGGGGATGGAGTCACCTTTCCTCAGACCAGTTTCAACGAGAGGCCTCGCCAGTTGCCAGTCGATCAAATAGAGACTCCTCCAAAAGACAGGTGGCCCGCTTCAAACCAGTCACAAAAGTCTCACAGGGGTCTCTGCGATCGACAGCCTCTGAGTTCCCTTCACAAGCTGCTTGTGGAAAACGACATTCCCCCCCCCCCCGCCCCGCATGAAATGTATGTGATGTATGCAATGTATGGTATGTATGGTATGCATGGTATGTATGGTATATATGATATGTATAGTATGTTATGGTATGTTATGGTTATGCTGATATGCATTCTATGATATGTTATGTTGTGTTGTGCTATGGCATGTCATGTCGTGCTGTGCTATGTAATCGAATGATATGTACGCAGTGCAATGTAATGCAATGCAATGTAATGTACTGCAATGTAACCCAATGTATGCAATGTATGTATGGTACGCACGACATGCATGATATGTAGGATATGTAGGATATGTATGGTATGTATGATATGTATGGTGTGTTATGGTAGGTTCTGGTATGGTATGGTATGGTATGGAATCGTATGGTATGTATGTTTATGCTATGGAATGGTATGGTCTATGTTATGTCATGTCATGCTATGTTATGTAGTCGAATGTTATGTATGTAATGCAACATATTGCAACGCAATGTAATGTACTGTTATGTGACGCAATGTATGTAATGTATGTAATGTATGTATGGTATGCATGGTATGTATGGTATGTATGGTATGTATGGTATGTATGGCATGTATGGTATGTATGGTATGTATGGTATGTATGGTATGGTATGGAATGGAATGGTATGGTATGTATGTGTGTATATGCTATGGTATGTTATGGTGTGTTGTGCTGTGGTATGTCATGTCATGCTATGCTATGTAATCTAATGCTATGTATGTAATGCAATGTAATGAAATGCAATGCAGTGTACTGTCATGTAACGTAATGCATGTAATGTAGGTAAGGTATGTATGGTATGTATGGTATGTTATGGTATGTGCTGGTATGGTATGGTATGGAATTGTATGGAATCGTCTGGTATGTATGTTTATTTGGGTGCTATGGTATGTTATATTATGTTATGCTATGTTATGTCATGGCATGCGATGGTATGTAATCTAATGCTATGTATGTAATGCAATGTAATGTGGTATGATGTGATGTGATGCGATGCAATGTAAGGTAGCGTAGCGTAGTGTAGTGTAGTTACAGTTAATGTGATGTAATGTACGTATGAAATACGTACAAATGTCTCGGTCCAGGCCCCCGACTACCCATTGTTCGTCCCGCTGATAGGGGGTCTTCTCCAGGTTGTCACCCAACCAACCTTGCCTTGCTGTCACGCAGTTGTCCCGGGTCAAAAAGTACACTCTGAGCAAAACAAAAAACTCGGGTAAAGCCGCGATAAAACATGGTTGAACCATTCCAACAGCTCGTTTCCCATTCGTGTCCAACCCCAACAAGTATCAAAAAGACACATCCTTGTCAAACAAGCCACCTCAGCCAAACGAAAAGGTGCCGCAGCTGAACGGGAAGAGAAGTTCATTTTGGGCAAAGCCTCTGCACCATCTCATGGTTGTAGGACTCGGTTCCAGCGACCGTGGAACAGCCCACATCTCCGAGCCTTAGTATCTGAGTTGGCGCCTAGCGTCATCTGAGCAATCGTCAAAAATCATGGTAAGGGTCATCCTCTACCGCTTCCCTTACTTGACGTAGTTGTCTCGTGTCTTGACATCGCTGAGCCGGCTAATTTACTTGTTGCGTCGGCGGCCTGCTTGTTGTTGTCGGTTTGTTTGTCCTGGACACAAACAAAAATGTGAAAGTGAGAAAAAATAACAATAGCTCCTTGAACGCGAGTCCCTATATGTGTGCCTAACGTATAGGGTTTTGCCATCTTCCACTAGTCCCTGGCCCAGGCTGGAAAATTAGGGGATCCCCTACTGTATATGTCTGAAACGCCATACCAACATCGACCTCCAGAAATAGTGGCAATTGCTCATGCTATATAGACAAACAACAACAAACTGGGGGAGCATAACAGAAATGGAGCTGACTCACCGGCCATATCATGCTGCGAATCTCACTCCCCACATAACCTGTGGCAGACTGAGTGGAACTTGTGGACTTGGGGATCCAGGCCACTCTGGGTTCATCGGAAGGCCGGGGCATTCCCACAAAAAAACACGCAACGGAGGATCACCTCAGATTTATCCGGAGAGGTGGCATTTCACCTCGGTGTTTCATCGGGGGTTTGGAAAAACATCAAACATCATCCATCCCCTGCTGCCTTCCTGTAAGTATTTTGCTTAGCACGATCCCACAACGTCTGCCGCGCGGCAAGGGCGCGGCACAGGGCGGGCTGCTGCAGCTGGGGTTGTTGCACCCACTGGAAGTGCCGCCATCGGTAGGACCGCCATCGGTAGGACCGCCGGTCGGGGGGCCCTGAGCAAGCAAGCAAGCGAACAAACAAACAAACACACAAACAAACAACAAGCCTCACACAACCACCAACAACCCACCCAAAAACCACAACCAAAAACCGACCCACAAACAAACGGCAAGACTCACATCACCACCAACGCATCCAACAACCAAGAAACCCACACGGCCCACCCTCGACCGGGCGCAGCCATCCGGGCGCTTCGCTTGGGCCCGGGCGCAGCCGTCCGGGGGCGGGCCGATGCCCGGGCCCCAGGTGGTGCCCTCCCCCGAGCAGTCCTGGGCCCGCACGGCCTGGCGGAACATCGGAACATCGGCGTCCCAGGTTGGCGCGAGAGGTATGACCGAGACCGGGTGACCCGGTGGGAATGAACCCAGTCACCTTGAAGGAAACAACCAGCTGGATGGCTTTTCTAGAGGTCATTCCGAGCTGCAGCTGGTTGTCAAGGGCCACCCCAATCAGGGCCCCCCAATCCCAATAGGACCGAAAAATAGTGACGATTGGTTAATCCCTGTGCTTCTTTTTTGCTGTATGTTTCCCATTTATGTCGCTATATGTCGCTTCTCTATTTGGCTCAGGTTCTGTTTGTTGGCTGTCTGTCCCCCATTTTGGCTTTGGGTTCTTCTCCTGTTGGTTTCGGTGCTTTTTGGGCTACCCCCGGTTTCTGGTTTTTGGTTGGCTGCAGAATGCACCGTGGCTAAAAGAAAAGCCCCATGAAAAGATCAAAGAGCGCAAAACTAAAAGAGAAGCACCCTGTGTGTGGTCGACTTCGCGCATGTTTGAAAGACGGGGATCTAAAAAGTTGGATGTTTTTGGGCTATTCCATGCTATAGGAGCATCCGTCTTTTCACAAAAAGGCTCGAGCAAATCGGGGGGGGGGGAGCTAGTGAGGTTTAAAAAGAACGATACCAGTAATATGTATCATTACGGCATACAAAGACATTGGCTGTGCAGGCATCCCTAATGAAGAAAAAGAGCTTGTGCTATCAGAATTCAGCACTTCTCCCAGCAAGGCTAACAATCAAGTGACATTCTTATGGGAAGGAGGTATTGAGAGGTATTCACACGTATCAGAGTTCACGTACTCCTAGATGTAAGCGCCCCGTTGTTCTAATTAATGTTGCTTTGGGAAATGGTGCTGGTGAAGGATGGAGCCGACTAAGACTGCTAAGCCCGAGCCTGTGCATGAGGCAAAATGACGAAGGTTTCCCGAAGGAAGGCATGGGAAAACTGGATGGACCCCTGGTTCTTGCGGGAATTTGTGTGTGTGTGCCCTTGTCCTCCCCACGCTAAGAAAAAACTACCACTACTTTGATCGTGCTTTTTGTTCCCGGCGCGCCTTGAGCAGGAGAAGGGCAAGCAGCTTCTTCGCCATGGGTTCAAAGGAAGAGGTGGGCAAAAACTTGCGGGCGAAGAGCTGCAGAGCTACAAGGGCTGCGAAAGGAAGGCCAACAGGTGGTAAGGCGCATTCGGTGGTTTCCCTAACTACGTATTGCAAAACCCGCACTTAGTTTGAACCAACCGAAAAAAAGAAGAAAACAAAAGCGTAGCAAATGACTGGATTGGTGCCTACTGTGGCGCATCCTCTGTAGATCGGGTCTCTGTGCTGCTTCCTCTTGTTATGAGTTATTTCGTCTCCCTAAGGCTATGGATCTATTGGAAACACAAAGCTATGGGCCTGCCTAGCCGAGGACTGTTGGGTACATCCAAAGCCACTCTCCGGTTGCTGAGAAAAGTCACCACAGTTGATTCCAACAAGAACGAGAGAACAAGTTGAACATGCAATTTACAATGCGTTGTTGGCCCTTTTACTTGCAAGGAGTACTGTTCGTTGCGTAGTTTTGACACCTGGACATAGGATGGCTCAGTTGCCATGGGAGCCTCAATAAGTAACACCTCAGCCATGGCTCGTAGATCATGTATCTCTACCACTCACCAACTTTAAATGGAGGAATCTCTCGGATAATGGACCTTGATCAGAGGTTCCGACAATCCCCACATGAGTTCGCCATAATTGCTGCAAATG